GCGGCGGACCTCTTCGGATTTTAGTGGCTATCAGAAGTCTCCAATTGTCCTGTCCTATTAGGATCCTTGGGTTGCCGGAGTCATATGTTAGCTGCTCCTTTAGGTCTTTCAAGTGTTTGCACTTGGCTATATCTACTGCACGCACAGTCTGTGGCCCCAAGTTTAGGCTTGCGACCGTGCGTGCTCTGAATGGCACCCGTTTGCTGTGGAGACTCTTCAGCGATACTTTAATTCTTCGAGATTCCGGTGAATCGAGGGTAGTGTTCCCGATAGCGGTGATCTTAAACGGGTCCAACCGCCCTGTAGCTCCAATTTGTTTGGCAATCTCTTCATCCATTAGTGAAACTGTTGACCCATCATCCAGCAGGGCGTGTGTGTTTACAGCTCCCGCCGGTCCAATTACTCGCACTGGAATTATTTTTAAATAGGCTTGATGCTTTGACATACTGAATGAGTTAGCAACAGTTTCTTGAGGTTCTTTTTGTTTGACCTCAGTCTTCTCCTTTGTATTGTTATGGAGAAGTCGATTGTGTGTCGCGGTGCATCCTTTTATTCCACACTTATTGGTTTTGCATTTGTGTGTCTGATTTCGATAACGTAAACAGCGGAAACATAAGTTATTTTGCTTTGCGAGTTCCCATCTTTTGTTGATATCTGCTTCTTTAAATTTTTTACATTCAGATCCGTAGTGACCCTCCTTTTCGCACACTCTGCATTTCGGAGACGGCTTAGTAGTAGCCGCGTGTGTTCTATGTACTGAACGATTGCTTTGTGCTTCGTTTATAATTTCTGGAGGCGCAAATGCACTGCAGAAGTGAGCTTGCTCGGTAATAAACTCGCTGAAGCAGCCGAGGTCTGGTCTAGAGTCGTATTTTTCAGTGTAGATTCTATACCACTGGGCACGTATAGAGTTTGGCAGTTTGTCGGTGAGGTGTCGTAGCAGCTCTGCGTTGACGAGGTAATGATCTCCTTTTAGTGCTCGAAGAGTGACGACGCTTCCCCTCACTTTACTCGTGAATGTGCAGATGTCTCTAGGTGATTCTGTACAGCGTGCTAATCCTCGTAATTTCTCGGTTTCTGCTTGTGCGATTGAATCTGGACGCCCAAATTGTAGCTCCAGTTCTCGCATAATCTCATCTGGCTTAACATGCCCGATGAGTTCTGAACTGACTGTTTCCAAGGCTCTTCCTTGTAGACTTCGTCTTAGTCTAGCAGTGTTTTCAATGTCATTGAAGTAGCCTCGGGTTGTTTCGTAAATGGCACGGAATGAAAGCCACTCGGTATGTGCTCCGCTAAAGCTTGGCAGTGTCATTATAGCTTTCGACGCTGCGAAAGTATGCGACGATAGTGGCGCACTCTCTAACTTTGGTTTGTCAGCGAGCGCGGCTATAGCGGATGTGAGCTCCGATATAAACGGACGGAGCCCCCTGTCTTCACTTATGACAGGTTCCTGGCTAGGTTTCTTTGGATCGGGATCCTTTTGTACATCTTCTGGATAGGAATCCTGGTTTGTGAGCTCTGATACAATCGGTAGGAGCCCCCTGTCTTCATCAACGGTGGGTTCCTGGCTGAGCTTCTGTGGCATGGGATCCTTTTGTGCATCTTCTGGATAGGAATCCTGGTTCGTGAGCTCCTTTTGGGGCTCACTGAGGTCGACAACGTCCGGGGTCGGCTTTGTGACGGTTTTATTAAATGGTGCCTTCCCTCCGGTGATTGCGCCTTGATTTGACTTTTGTTTGGCTACAGAGTTTTCGAGCCAAGATCGAACGTACTCACTTTTGGAGTGACAATCTTCATCATAGTCGTCTGATTCGTCTTCTTCTTCAGCCATCTGTAAGGAGATCTGCGCAAGTTCTAGTTTGATCTTCAATAGTTCTTCACGAGCCTTCAAAATTCTTCTATTGGGCCGAACAGTCTTCTTAGACTTCGTACTGCAATCGGTGTGGCCCCTCGGTGGCTCTACGGTGTGAGTGTCTTCCCGGGCTGGTGGCGATGATGCACGGCTAAAGTCATCGTTGCCTTCTATATGTTCCCTCTGCTTCGTTGTGCGGGCCGTAGTGGACGGCGCGGGCAGGGGTATCCCCCTCGGGGGGCAGCATGGCGCCTCAGCGCCCTCTACCGTTGACGGTGAGCGTGGTGGCATCTGGTGGTGGACGGCGGCGTTACTGGGCGACGAACCTCCGTCCAGACCGACGGTCCACGCCTTGGCTGCCCTTCCTTGCGAACGGGTGATCGGCATCTTGAATCTGAAAATTCTGCGGTTTTAATACGGTGGTGACTATTTACCCGGTTCCGAAATACAAACGGATATATCCGGCTCGAAGGACCAACGAATGTGCCGGACGGGCGAAACTCTCCGGAGTAAATGTTGTCGAAGGTACTTCGCGAGTCGCTCACGTCCTACACCTATAGGTTCCGGTGGGTACTCTCACCGCCGTCTTTGTTGGTGCCGCTGAACTATTATTTATTGATCACGCGGTTGTTCACTATATATTTCAAAAGATTTCTTTAAATTGTACGGTGGTATCAAATATCTATTGGTAGTAGCTGGTTTTCTAACACTACTGACTAGCAGCTATTATCAACTAAACTACCTGATTTTATCACTTGTGTAACTGCGGATATCAGTTACCACTTTCACTATATGTAACTGCGAATATCAGTTACGACCTTTTTCGGCTAGCTAACACTTTCACTATGTAACTGCGAATGTCAGTTACGACCTTTTTAGGCTAGGTAACACTTTCACTATGTAACTGCGAATGTCAGTTACGACCTTTTTTAGGCTAGGTAACACTTTCACTATGTAACTGCGAATATCAGTTACGACCTTTTTAGGCTAGCTAACACTTTCACTATGTGTAACTGCGAATGTCAGTTACGACCTTTTTCGGCTAGCTAACACTTTCACTATGTAACTGCGAATGTCAGTTACGACCTTTTTCGGCTAGCTAACACTTTCACTATTCACTATATACTGCTACTAGTCACTTCAGCTACCACCGGATACCACTCACTTCACTTCGCTTGTCACTGGTAGTTCTTCACACTACTACGGATACTGGGTCCCAAGCCCCTAAGGTAGACTTTAGCAATACTTTACAGTGAGCCGCTTGCCATTTTCCGTTTTGCCTCTTTATTGCATAAACTTTTCACTATACAAATAGCATAAATTGCAATATTCTCTATACAAAACTAATTGCTACACTAACATGCTATACATCATTGAATCGGTAGTCTGATACTTTATTAGTATATCATAAAGGTTACTAAAAACATTAACATTGTAAAAAGTTATTAAACGAAATGTCCCAAATTTTCATAATATTTGGGTATTTTAATTCTTTAATTTTTCTATAACTACGAAATGCGTTTAATTATAAAAAAATATTCCTATACTTCTTTAATCTATAAGCCATATGCTAATTAAATGTCGTATTTATAACTCTTTTAGAACATAAAATTCTTTTGTGTTTAAATAAAAATTCATTGTACAGTGCTATTATATAATTAAAAGCTGACCCCCTCACTTCGCTGGCCGTAGTTTTAGTGCGGAACCTATTAAAATTTTATTTAATGGGACTATCGCAAAATCTGTTCTTAGCTAGCATCAACATTGCGAAATGAGTAACTGTACTAAATTTCAAGTATACATATAAGCAAAATACCACTGACTGACACATCACCAGATCTTTAAAACTAGGCACCAGATTGACTGATCAAATTATATATATATATATATATATATATATATATATATATATATATATATAAACACATAAATTAAACTCATTGCACTCATGATTTATTATTCAAATAACCAGTTCAGTTTTTTCTATTATGTCGGTCAGATCAAAAAATATTAGTATTCATATTTCATCAGTATGTAATTTGTACCTAAATATAATTTCCAAAACACGATTTACATTAAAAAAACCGAGCAAAGCTCGGTCATCCAGGTACTGAGTTTAAAATGACATGGTAGCGTTGTGTGTATCGAGTCCAAAAATTTTGAAATTTTGCTAACGCAACGTCGCCTATAGAATCGTAGCATAGATATAAACCAAATACAAATATATCGTATGAATACTATTAAACGACTCAAAATAAAAAAAAATCGTGTGCTGATATCAATGTTCAGCAGTGAAATTTTATAGGCTGTAATGGTGCTGATAATTTAACAAAAGTTCTAGAAGTATCTAACTTGCTTATTTTTAACTTTTATGGCTTTCTTCACCTAATGTGTTTTCAATAAAATACACAGTGTGAGCGAGACTATACGTAGCCGAGATACGAGTAGTGCCACGCCGTAATCGAGACATCGATCCGTGTATCATTCTAAATGAAGTCGTGAACCTATCCACCGACATAAAAAGTCCCTTTGAGTAATCTTTGCTTTTATCGTACGTGCCATCGAAGCGATTTACTCGTCATCTTATTCCCACTCGACTTTTATACCTTACAAACAGTGAGCGTCGTAGGATTTTACGAATATTGTTTCACGCATAAGTGAGTTCTCCTTCATCTTAAAACATGGATCACTGCTGAAAATACCCCTCCAACGTATTACCCGTTCGGATGTAGGAGAGGGTCATAAATGTAAGGGAACAGCAACAGAGACACTCTTAAAATAGGTAACCTAGCTTCGTTTTCAGGTCATGTTGGAGCAACATTCTGTTCACATGCACGCTTATAGAACCTGCGGAATGTTTGCATATCATCGCGTATGTAAGCCTCATTTGTTTCCCAGTCACGTTGCACGAAGAAATTTTTTGAATAAATAATGCCTCGTCAAACGCTTTTTCAGAACTTTATTTTAGTTTCACCCTTTTTGATTATTTTATGACGCTTTATTTAAAAATGTTATATTATATAATATAACAAGTCGATTTGCTGACTTGCAGTAAAGGTTCCACTGTCAAACTTTGTAATTGCGTTCTCTGTTCCAATGTGTATACTCCATTCTTTCTAGATTTAGTTTTTTTTTTTTAATTAAGACAATGAAAGAAATATGTATGTTGGACTACATATACTAATATTGCATACCACACTTTTCTCTTATCACACAATTTCCCACCCAGTCAGCATTTCTACAGCATTTATTTTATTCTCGCGCATCTGCTGCCAGACCCAACTTTCACCACCATACATTAAGGTAGGAATCAACACAGCATTCTCGATTGCCAAATGTGCCTTTTTGACACATTCTGGCTTCCCACAATGTAGGAAAGGGCCCCATTTACTGCCGACATGTCCTGCGTTCACTCGTCGTATCCTTATCATATTTACCATCCCTCCTAAATTTCAACCACCAACTCCCTTTCTATTCTTATTTCACATTTTGTTTTACTTTCTACTCTTTCAAAAACCATCACTATCGTCTTACTTGCTATCACTTTCATTTACATTTAAACAACATACATTTACAAAGTAACGACTTCGGAAATTTTCAATTTTCAATTTTTTTTTAAACATCAGCACTCAATAATTTAATGGTAAGTGGATCCATAGATTCAAAGCTCCTTGACGTTGATATTATGTAGTTGCGAATAAAAACCGAAATGCAAACATCGAGATATACGTAATAGTAATACATCAATGAATGCAAATGTGTTTTCACCAAACGCAGTGATTATATACTATTCATGACTCCTTTGTGTGTGAATATAAGACGAAATACCCAGTGCACTAAGAAGTTTAATAAACCGGTATTACATTGACAACTTTCATGATTTCTTTCTGTGTGTGTTAAAATAAGCAGTTTAAAGACAACCACTGCTGTACATAGGCCTCTAACAGTTCAAGAAGCGAAATAACTTTATGGCTTCACTAGAAAGAGCTACTTTAAAATAACTTAAAAATTAAAAAAATTAAAACTCCCGAAATTAAAAAAAGCTGAGATTTTCTTAAATCATAGCTATGAACACTCTCGATCAAGTCACTTTTAAAAAAAATCTAATTGCAAATCCGTTTGGGAGCTATGATGTCACAGACAGACACACAGATACACAAACACACAAGTTAAATTTGAAACAATAATACAACACCCCTCTTTTTCGTCGGGGGTTAAAAATACTATGTATTACATGTGTTTTGAGACATTTATTCTAGTCTTTTATAAAAGTTTTAAATATATTATTGCAACTTTTGGTATATTTAAATCCGTAACATAACGTTTAAAATATATCTTTATAACTAGTCGTGATTTGTACTATATAACTAAATTTGTAAAGGAAACCCTTTGTACAAAGTTGTTAAAGCGATCGCTTTCTATATTATATTAAAAACGTAGGAATTTTAAACATGTGCACATAAATAAATCTTACACCTTTATTGCATGACTCTCAAGATTCTTCTCGTTACTGTGTTAAGTCACGAAGCAGACTCGATAGAGGAAGCAGGTGGATAATACTTCAAAGCTACAAAAGGTGCAGGTGCAATGCCATTAAAGCGACTTGAGAACGCGCTAGTCACATGAATTTAGATTTGTTATGTGTGAAGCTCTGTAAGCGATTTATTTACGTTTCTTTAATTTATTTAAAATAATTACATTTGCTTCTTTCCGTCTGATTACGTTCAGGGTGTCTTCAAAGCAAGGGTAAATAGACTTTTGTTAGCTAAGACACTGCGATTTATTAAGGGCTTCATCACCACCTACCACCAGGTCGAATTGTAGTCGTTAGTCAAGCCAAGCAAAAAAAAATCAACAACAAAATTCAAATATAATAGACGCTCAAACCACTAATACAAAATAGAACCAGCGTAACATGACTGTATCACGAATGGGTCGGCTCGATTGGAGAAAAACCAAGCTCGCTTAGTACACCAGCGTAAAAGAGCACCATAATTTTTTTGTGTATCGTATGGTGGGTGGCACGAACTGGAGACCCTTTTAACTGGCAATAAAGTATTCCGTTTTTAATTTTTGAAGTAGAAAACTTCTTTAGCGGCGTTGTACACTTTTTTTGTAATGGGTAAAAAATGTTAAACTCGCGTCAAGACACGTGACCTAATTGAAAATTCGTAAGACGGATGGAGAGTAGACAGCCGGCGCGGCGTAGGAGAGGAAGTATCTCCCTCTCTTTCTACGGCGCGGCGAAAATGTATGCCTGCGCCTGCTATTTCGTTTAGGCGGAGCAGGGCGCTTGCGCGAATGTAATATAAATTGTCATGTTTGTGTACGATAGCGCAATAAATAAATATTGTATTCTCTCACATAAATGATAGAACTTTTATACTGATAATTAAAGGAATTCGTGTAAAATTATTCCCTAACCATTCCAAAATATCAAAAATGCACAACGTTAATATTCAAGTTTTCACTTCTGCCGGCACTCCCGGAGTGCAACCCGTCGTTTTTGTTTTAGGATAGGGTGACAAACGAGCACACAGTCCACCTGATGGTAAGTTGTTGCTGTGGCCCATAGACATCTACATCTAACCTCGATTACGTATCAAAATGTAACTGCGTTGTCACCTGTAGAGGACTAAGATGAATGCCTCTTTTCCAGTAAAAAGGGTCTCCGGTTCTCTAAACTCACCATACGAAGCACAGCAGCATTAAGCTACTATTTTAGGCTGGTATTCTGTGAAAGCGTGGTCCTTCTCCAGTCGAGCCGACCCATTCGTGCTACAACTATACTACTAATGTAAGTGCAGCATGGCTCTACCACGTATAAATTAATAATTTAGGGGAGACGGAACATATGTCATATTTTAACTGTTATCTGTCACCATCTATTAGAGAATAGATGTGGACGTCTATTACATAAGTTACTATTATTATACGTAAATTCTTAATGAGCTCTGTTACGGTCACGTAATACTTTAATAAGTATAATTTAAAAAAAACCGGCCAAGAGCGTGTCGGGCCACGCTCAGTGTAGGGTTCCGTAGTTTCCCGTCCGTCACAATAAGTGTTCCCACTTATGAGTTTAAAGGTGGGTATCCATTATGTTCGCGCTCCAGCAGCGCTCCGCGCTCCTGCAACTGCTCCCGGTAGTGGGTACTGTTGTTTCCATCCTAGTTCAAAATGATTTTCCTAGAAAGTCCTTATAAAGTTCTACTTTTCAGATTTTTTTCATATTTTCTAAACTTATGGTTCAAAAGTTAGAGGGAGGGACACATTGTTTTTTTACTTTTGGAGCGATTATTTCCGAAATTATTGACATTATCAAAAAATGATTTGGGTAAACCCCTATTCATTTTTAAATACCTTTCCAACAATATATCACACGTTAGGGTTGAAATTAAAAAAAATCACTTCCCACTTTATTTATAGGGGGGCTACCCTAATAAAACATTGTTTTCCAATTTTTATTTTACCACTTTCTCGGGGTGATTGATACACATATAGGTACCAAATTTCCGCTTTCTAGTGCTAACGGTCACAGAGATTAAGCGAGGACGGACAGATGGACAAACAGACATGGCGAAACTATAAGGGTTCCTAGTTGACTACGGAACCCTAAAAAAGATTGAATGTATTTCGGTATTTTCTTTGCGTACGTCATGTTCAAACTCTTTTACTTTGACGAGCATACTCGTGTGTTAAGGTATCACGTTTTACCTTACTCAAGCGAGTGAACTTAGCAATTGTTGCTGACTGCTTAATGGAAATGCAAATTCCCGCTGTCTATCCGTGTCCGCTGGATATCGTAACAAAATACTAATAAGATAAAATCGAAACTTTTAAGTGCGGCTTTTAACATTATTGCTATCGCATGAACGTGGGCTTTTAAGAGAACATTCTCATAAGATATCAAAATTTTCGAGTAATTAATTTTGAAATAAAACTATAATGTAAGTCTTGATTGATAGATTGACTGATGCCTTAATCCTTCAACTTGCAACTTAATAAATCTTGTGAGCTTAATAATAATTGTTTTGTAATGATATATCTTTTTCTTTTGATAAAAAAAATACAGTAACATTTTAACGCACCACGCAACAGGCAAGCTGCAGCTATATTACGGCAGCACGAATGGATTCACTCAACCATGATAGAACAACGCTCTCATAGAATACCAGCGTAAAATGGTACCTTAATGCTGCTGTGATTCGTACAGTGAACGTTGAGAACGGGACACCTTTTTGTACTGTTGATGGGTCATTCTATCTTAATCCTAATGGCCCATCCCAACACATTAACATTTTGATTTTTTATCGAGGATGGATGTACCTAGGTGATAATTGGCCATAACATCCATTTACCATTAGGTGAACTGTGTACTCAATTGTCACCTCTATTTTATAAAATATTGCAATGAGGTTAATTATACTAATTTCCCTGTGAACCAAACACTCCAAGTAAGCTTAACCTAACAGTAAAAGAATGGCGGATTTGGTAATAAAAAATGCGTTTCCCAAATACAGACGTAAATAAAAACGTCGACTTTTTTCATTAGGTTGATAGCTACGTAAAGCACCATTTAAAAAAAATATTTTATTTTGTATTTAATTAATTAAACATGCTATATTATATTATATATCTTATAATATATAATATAATATAATATGTTATATATATATATATATATATATATATATATATATATATATAATAATATGTAACATAATTAACGCACACCCTCAGACACCCCAATTAGTACATTATGTTACAATCATAATACATACACTGGATTTTTAGTTAAAATTTTATGCACTATTATTTATCAAATTAGTTATACTAATTCCGGAAGAATGTTGTGGTCACAGTACAAATCCACGAACACAAAAACTTTAACGTGCTTGAAATAAAGTTCATTTTTTTTTATTGAATGACAGATTTAGTAATAATATAAATAAAACTGCACTCTTAAAAGTCTTGTTGCCTTAAGTTACGGTCCATTTCAGTTTGTTTTGACTGTACATATTTAGTGTGATTGTAATTTACGCAGTTTTAATTATTTTTGGGATAAAAAATTACCTATATTAAAAATGATTCAGTAAGCGATTCTGAACAAACTACTTTCTCAAAGTGCGTTAATTATATTACGTGTTGTGTGCATATTGTATATATAAAAAAAAAAAAAAAAAAAAAATATATATATATATATATATATATATACAATATTTAACGTAATTAACGCACACCCTCAGACACCCCAATTAGTATATTATGTTATAATCATAATACATACACTGAATTTTTAGTTAAACATTTTTTACAGCAGTTTTCGTGTGAGAAGAAGAAGTGAGAGCATCCATCACCCCCCCCCTTTTTTTTTGGTTTTAACGCCAAAAAAGGGTGTATTAAGAGAAGACTATGGGAATACGGAAATTGCTAAAAATACTCTATTAAGATAGTAAAGCCACCTAAATAGCTATATTTTGTACGGCAGCGCATGAAATACGAACAATCAAAAATTAAATTTTATATATTAGATTAAATAAAAATGACTTCGCTACTAATACCAACCTTTATGATCAACTAGGCAGAATTACTTATTAAATTTCTTTTTCGTTTGTTGCAGGCGTCGACGATACACACAAGTTCCTGGGAAACGAAACTCACACAGATTACTTCAGATTATTATTAAGAGACGGAAACTACTTATTAGTTGGCGGCAGGTAAGAAACATAACTAAGTAATTAAGTAATTATTCATGCTACGTTTACGATTACATCTCAAGTCTCAGTCAGTGAGATCGTTTAATTCTACTCTTAGCCAATATTTACCTACATTCTCTTACACATTTACGATTACATTTTGCAAAAAAAAAACCATAAAAAAGACTATTTCAAAATGAACCAACGCCTACCAGACTTCATTTTTGGGTCGAGAAGCGCAAGGAAGATTTTTGATCGTAAAGTTTTTCGCTTTGTCATGGTATATGGTGTCAAATCCTTTACAAAATTAAGTGCCGAATGATATCTTGATTCTTGCCCTTTTTTATTCTTATTGATTCTCAATGCGGATTTTTTCCTCACTCTCTCTATACAAGGAACTTACCAAACCAGTTGAACTTTTGGGTCACCTTAAATCCTGACTTCGCACCGTGTGACTTCTTTATTTATACTTAAATTAAAAATCAGCTAAAATAATACATTGACAGTTTTGAAACGATTTTGTGATTTTTCAAACATTTAAAAACTTTAAACTGAAAATATTAACTTTATCGTAAAAAGCTAGAGGACGTTTTTTCGTATTTCATCAAAGAATATAAAAAAATTGTCCAGTTTGAAAATAACAATTACTTGCAATTAAAAAAATCATTTTAAACAATATGATACCTAGTTGCCCCATGGCAACTTGAATTTATATCGTCAGTAAACGATAATTTGAAGAGAGTCGCAGAAGTGCGAATAAAAAAATTGAGTAGGTACTCATGCACCGATTCCGCCTGGACTAAAACGGTCAACATTTTTAATCTTTCCTTTCGTAATTGTTTGTTAACGCTATCGAACAGAATAGTTTACTTCTTGTTCTATTGTATTTTACTTTATTATTATATATAGCTAGTCACAATTTTTTATCAATACTATGTTAGAAAATTTGATTAATATGTATTTCTGAATAATTAGGAAGAGACTAACGCCTCAAATACAGGGAATGCTATTAAGGTGCTAGTGTAGTTAAACTGTTAAATCTAACTATATTTTTTTATAGAAGAGGGGGCAAACGAGCATGCAGCTCACCTGATGTTAAATGACTACCGCCGCCCATGATCAACCACAACACCAGGGGAATTGCAGGTGCGTTGCCGGCACTTTAGAAAGGAGTAAGCTCTTTTCTTGAAGGTTCCCAGGTCGTATCGGTCCGGAAAAATCGCCGGTGGTAAACTATTCCACAGAGAGGTTGTACGCGAAAGAAAACTCCTTTTGAAACGTACAGTGGTGGACCGCCAAGCATCCAGATGGTGTGGATGGTATCGCGACGTTTGCCGCGTAGTGCGTTCTCGAAATTCGGCGGCTGAGATTAATTCTAGCAATTCCTCAGAGCACTCCCCATGGTATATGCGAAAGAAAATGCAAGAGATGCAAATCTCTTCCAGCGCCAGTGAATCGAGCCGATCGGAAAGCACTCGGTCGTCGACGATTCGAGCCGCTCTGCGCTGGATACGGTCAAGTGGAAGGAGCTGGTACTGGGGAGCCCCAGCCCAGAGATGGGAACAGTATTCCATGTGCGGCCGAACCTGCACCTTGTATAGTTGCAGGCGGTGTGCCGGCATGAAATACTGGCCCGTTCTGCTGAGCACGCGAAACTTTTTAGAGGCCAATTTGGCCTTCTCTTCCAAGTGACCACGTCACGCACGTCACTCGATATGCCGACGCCGAAGATTCCGATGATGGCTGATGCAACAAGGGGAGTGTCTTGAAACTGAGGAGATGCGACAAAAGGCTTCTTTTTAGCGGTTAACGCGCAAACTTGTGTCTTCTGGGGGTTAAACTGGACTATATTTAGTCGCCCCCAATCCGAGACTCTGTTCAGCAAAGACTCGACTTCAGATACAAGTTTGTCCCGGTACTCGGAGACGTTTTCCCGAGAAATATTGGCACGGCCGGTGTATAGAGTATCACCAGTGCTGTCATTTGCATAGCAATGAATGTTAGGGGTTTGCAACATATCATTGATATGCAGAAGAAACAGCGTTGGCGATAGCACGCAGCCTTGTGGAACACCAGCATTAATAGGCTTGCACCGTCTACAACGACCTTGATGCTCCGATCTGTAAGAATGCTGGTGATCCAATCGCACAATTTCTCGGGAAGCCCATAGGAAGGGGGCTTCGAAAGAAGCGCTTTGTTCCAAACCCGATCGAAGGCCTTCGCAATGTCCAAACTAACGGCCAATGCGGGAGGCATCGCTTCAAGATGTAGCCAACCTTGACTGTGACTAAAATAAATAAGGTTGGCTACATCTTGAAGCGAGCTTCCATTAAAACATACTACAAGCCGCCGAAGAAGATTAGTCAATTTTTACCATCCGTCAAGTGTAATATCCCTCTACAAGATGCAGGAGTGTACATGTTAGATTGTGAATGTGGTCTCTCTTACATAGGTCAAACAAAAAGATCCATAAAAACCCGCGTGAAAGAACATATAGCTGACGTGAGCAACGACGCTCCGGGAAGTCTGCAGTCTGTGAACATGTTCAAAATCGTTCCCACCATTACATCAAATTTGATAAACCACAAATCCTCGCAAAAGAACACCGATTCCTACCAAGGATGATACGCGAGGCTATTGAAATTAAAAAAACATCCAAATTTCAATAGAGAAGATGGTTGGCTGCTGCCATCTGCTCGGGATCTTATAATTAACAAAATTAAACCCAAACCTAAGCATACCACTGCAAGACTTCAATATACTGTAAGCTCGTTTTGCGTAAATCGGACCAAAAATTAATATTCAAAAACTGAAGGTAGCCGGGCTAACAATGACATTAGGACGTAAAACATCTCAGCCCCCCCCCCCCCGTGACCATGGGTGCTGTAAAGCACCCGAAACGTCGGGAATTAAAAATAAGTAAAAGTAATTAATTAAACGTGATAGAATCCGTAAATTTAGTTTTATTCAATGTGTAGTGTTCGCGTAAATTTAAGAAATCATTAAATAATTTTATGTTCAGTTTCAATGAATTATCATTATATTATTTTCTTTCGTGCATACGTTTCAAAAGTAACACCTATTTCGTTTTAAAGAATCCGGAGTTACATTCAAATGAGATACTTATTTGTTTTTCTCAACTCCACTCCAATTCGTAGTAAAGTTTAGGTACCCCTAACCGCAGCGTCTGAAGCGGCAAGAACGTGCTGTATCTACTAAGACCGCAGAGTTAACACGGATGCACCTGCTCTATCCTTTTCCATTCCACTAGGTAGCTCGATAGCGCCATTCCATTTGCATTTATAAAGATTTTTGGCTTGAGTTTGGATGGAGGCAAGACGACTTAAAAACACCCCACGCGCCCGGCGGCCTACAGTCGCCATTTTATAACGCCTTAGTGATGTATATTAATCGATGGAGATATACTTATCGATAAATTTGTATTTTTACTGTGTGGTAGACAATGAGATATCTTAATTAATATTGTGATGGATGTAATCAAACTGAAATTATTAAATCAGAATCAGTTATATCTGTCAAATCCATAAAATGTGTAAATTTCTTACATAATAACTTTAGTAACAAGGCACATAAAATGGTCTAGGAGTAGATACTCCTGATAAGACTAACCACACCGCTTTGAATATCGGTCAAATCATTAAGGTTCCGTGAGGTTATAAAGAAAGTTACCCTTCTTAGTTAGTCTTCTGGAATAATCGGATAAAAATTAATATCGTGTCGTCCTATTTTAATCAAATACAAAATGTCATCGTCGGCATATTTATACGACATTTTTTCTATTTAATAGTAACAAAACATGTTACTCGATTATTGTAGTCGAATTATATTGACAATGTAATTGGTCTATACTCAGTTTAAGTTTATCTCTCCTTCAATAAAAATTCCAAGCCAATAAAATGAAAAAAAACCATGACCATATAATTACAGCCAGCAATTTTCAAATCTGACAAGTATGCAGCTTAAAAGTTAATTGCGTTAACGGTGCCGAGCGCTTGGCAAATTATATTGTCAAACTGTTACACTGAGCAGTGAGTTGCATATGATAATAAATGATCACACTAGCTGTTGGTTAAAAACAATGTTAAAGTAAAAAATACTAATTTATTTCTTCTGTGTCACTGCGCCACGTCACTATTTCACACGCAGAGGTATGCCATGACATCTGCTCCGGTTACGCTTTCGGAACATATACTTGTTTACATGACCCCAAATTCAGTTCATGCTAATTCTCCTATGCCCATTTAGAAAATTAAAGTTAATTAAATTTTTTTCGTAAATAAGCCCAACTTTAAATGATATTTAATATATAATATAAATCTATGTCATAGTAAAGATGGAGAACTCGTAATTTCATCTTGCCCGGTTATTATATTAAAAAATGACTGTTAGGAGTTACCAGATCCGTTAGATGAGCGTATATATTAAATAATATTGGGTGTCTTGAACTTGCTTACTTATCTTCTGCCAATCTTCTTATTGGACTAGTCTTGACTATACCATTTCATACACTTTGTATAATAAGATCCATAATATAGTTGATGGTTATAAATCAAAAAATTATCGTTGAGGTGACGACAAATCGTAATAAGCTTAACAAGACACTAATAAAATTGACTAAAAATGTATCAATTTGAGTTAATAACTCGATGCCACGTCCATGATAACTAGTTATTCGCAATAAAAGTTAGCTTATGCTATTTATTAGCTATGGGCTTTCAAGTTTTCTTTTAACAATATCAAATAAGTTTGCTCTTATTTGATATTTTATTATATTATTTTATTAGATTATAGTTCAAATACGAAACGATAACTATGATGTTTTCTATTGTTTATATATATAAAAAAAAAAAAAAAATATATAATACTATATATATAATTTATGTATCAAACAAAGTTGTTACATTTTCTAAACATAAAAAAAAATATTTTGAGAAGGTACGAAACGTACTTTATGTGAACAACACTGACAAAAAATAATTTCTCATGTTACAATAAACGAA